TAATGCGATGATGACGACGACGATGATGATGATGATGATTATAACAATAACGACAACAATCATATAGGAATAATCATAATTGCAACAATAACGTGATAGACGATATAATATTTTCTGACGAGTAATAAGACAAGAAATAATGGCGCAATCCAGCGTTACGCGTATCATGACACCGCCGCCGACCGGGAGACTCGTTCACGCTTCGATTGTTTCGGAAACGAGCAGTCGGCGAGACGGGTGTGTTTTTGTCCGTCCCGGAGCTGCTAATTTGCCGGCTCGCAAATGGGGTGCGAAAACTATTCGGGCCACCCCCGCTGGCGGGGTCGTACGCGACACGAGGTGTATATCGAGCCGACTGCAGCTGGAAAACATTAACAGAATACTATTATTATTATTATTATTATTATTATTATTATTATATTATATTATTATATTATTAGGCCCGGTGGCGGTCTGCAGAGCAGACGCACGTATATTGTGCGCCGGTTTCGTGCGAGTAATTATCACCCGCGGTATTCAGACGGACTAATTATTTACTGCGCTAGCGCTCAGACGACGTATCACACAAAACGCGACGTGTCACAGGCAGCAGTGGCGGTGTATATATAATATTATAACAGTGGGTGGGTAGGCATAGGTTACCCTTCTATTTATAGGAAGAGACGTGACGCAATTTAATATAATGCATGACAAGACGTACGGACTTATAAACGTGTGTACGCGAGGGGGGAAAACGGCGATATTTTCGAGGCATTTTTTTTTTTTTTTGCCCGGCTCACTCTCCGAACGTGCACACTCGGTCGTCTTCCTGCAGCGCCGTCACAATAAATTATTCTTATGATATTATATACTGTGTGCGCAGCCCGTTTAACACCAGACCGACGTAAATCCGCTGCTGCACTTGGGCCCTACGACTGCAACATCGACCAAACACTCGCGTTTGCCCACATCATACTACGCATAGGTACTGACATGACGTCAAAATAACGATATATTACTATGTTCACACCGTATAGTAGGCACGAATTGTGTACGTAACGCACGCCGTATACTTTATTATGACTTTATGTGCACATGCGATTTGGCTTCCACGTGCTCCCCTCGGAGGAGGGTGAAAATTTATTATTATAATTATTATATTACAAACCGTTATGGCTGCGCGTCGTCGTCGCCGCACATAATAATAATTATAATTATATTTCATGCGAAGGGAAATGTGTGAAAACGAGACATTAATCTTAAAACTCGAACACTTCTCAAGACGCGACGTGTATGATTATGTATAGGAGGTGCCCATTCGTATTAACGATTCGAACTCGTACAAGTGTCACCGGCCATGATGTAAATTAGAAATTATATAACCGTCGACAGTTTTTACCTACACCCATAAATCGTACAGTATTTTGCGCATCATGGTAACGTTTTTATAGGTAACTCGAACACTATATTTGAAAATCTCAAGAAAAAAAAATTTTTTTCAGGGTGCCGAGGTGCTTGGGTGAAACTTCCAACGGGTTTTACGGAATTTGAGCTAAGTCGGTGATTTTTAATAATATTGGTTTACTTTTGGCAACAAAATCGTTACAGAATCTGATGAAAATGTCAAATCATACGCCGTCACCCCACCTAATGGCGTTTAAGTTTGGAATATTCCAAACTTCCTTATAAGTTACACGAAAAAACCAGGGTTGTTACATTTCGTTACAAAATTGTTACAAAACATAGTAAAATTCTAGTTTAAAAGTTCAGAACTTGAGGTGCTGGAGTGGCGGACTTTGTCAACTCTGGATTAACCGTCATACAGTTTTCTACCTTTCATAAAAAATATAAAAGAGAATGACAATCCGTATCCAACATTTTCAAAACATTATATATATTGTAATAAACTATGAGCTCGTCGACATGACGCTTATTCACGCCTTCACTTAAAAATAGATTTACTCTAGCCAAATAATGAGCAACTATAATATTATGATACAATCGCTGCATTTAATGCTGCTTTCACAACGTTTGAAAAGAGCATTTTTTTTAATCTAATAATTATTATATAGTTACAAAAATTAATATTAAAAACTTTGTGTTATGGATTGAAAAAAAAAATTGTAATAAAATGTAATATTCCTATTATGATAATATTTATTGAGCCGTAAATAAAGCACACCTGTGACTTTTAGTTTTAAAAATAGGTTCAAACTTTAAAATATTATTATTTCGTTTATATAATAGTATTTATGCGTATTTCATGCAGCGTCACTATATACAGGTGTTAATTTTATTTTAACGCTACATTTATTAGAATCTTATAGAGCGTAGAGATTTTTATTGCAACTTTTATCAACCCCTTTTCGAACAGAAAGGTCTTTATAATATTATTATAAAAAAATCAAATGGCTTGCGAAGTAATGTTGCATAAATTATGAATGTTTATAATTTTATACTTTTAACGAGGAATGCGAAGTAAAATATGGTATGAGCTTTTAAAATGTACAATTTTTTTTTTTTAAACATGTTCTTTCGGTAATTAAACCGAAAAAGCACTCTTTGTACGTATTTAATGGTGGAAAATATAAAATAATAATAAACGATGACTGTTAAAAGAACGTGTAAAGTACACCGTGAGCTGAAAAAAAATGTTGCTTGCTCTATAAACGAATTAAGCTGTTTTTTTCCACCGTATAATACTTTCGTGGTATTACACACCTAAGCTTCCGGTTTTGAAAATGTTTTAATGAATAATTTGTAAAGTATGAAAAAAAAATAATGTATAAAAGGCCGAGTAACAACAATATATGTATATTGTATACCTACGGCAACCAGAATATTGTTGTAGTTTATTTTATGTAAGTTGACTAAAACCAGTAAAACTCATCTTACCTAATTTTAAATTTAAATAACAATTAGGTATTTCTGAGCACTATATTATCTCTTGTTTAAAACTCATACCTCTGAAAAACAAAAACTTTCATTTATTTTATAGATTGGTAAAATTAATAAACACAAAATAAATATTTATCTATCTTCATCGTTAATTTATCTGTATATAACCTTTCTTTTTTTCAAATGTGACTTGTTTTGTCAGTGACTTTATAATTAACATGATTTCCGAAAATAGTTTTAACAAGAAAATTAAGATTATTAAACTGTAGTTAAAACGCTTTTTTTTTGAAAAATCAACTGCATTATTAAAAGTCCAAAATAGTTGAGGCACCATTAATTTAGTTGAGCCGGCTGGACTTAGGTCGGGACCAAACCATTTAAAGTTGTACTCCATTAAGTTTTTAAGCTATCAACTCGTTCTTCACACTGTTCATTATCGCAACATTCAGGGTCGAGGTTCGTGATTGCTTAAATGTATTTTTTAATTTCCACTATTTTGTTAAAATTCAGTAGGGAGTTTACTGTTTTTTTCCTCAACATCACCATAGATAGATTGTGTACACGAGTTTAGGGTCAAGCCGGACTTATTCAAAGTATATAATTATATTGCACTATAATAGTATGAGCTTTTAAAACAAGCTCTTCTAATTTTTTTTTAGACCACGATAGGTTCATCCCTTTAGAACGATTTAGTTAGGTACTATACAATATTCAACAGTACAATATTTCAATAATTATAAAAACATGTTAAACGATTATAGTTTGTTGGTCAATAAGACTACAATAACTATATTTATCTTTATAGTTAGTAGTTATGGACATTGTTGGTATTTTATTGATAAATTGCTGTGAAAACCTCGTGATAGGAAGTGTGATGAATTGTGCCGAAACTATAATTATTGATTTATTGTGTATTGATTATTTTTTAAGATATTTTTGGAATTTAAAGTTTTCGTCTAATATTCAGCTATTACAGTGGAAAAATACACTAAAATAAACAATACCTTATGTTCTAAAATGTCTTCGTGGACGTAAATTATGAATGTCCCAACTGAGTTGGTCCAAAATAAATAATGTATTTCACTTATCTAATATCAATATTAAATAGACAAACTGATTTGCAAAATTGAATTTATAATATTATATTTAAGTAGTTGATATAAGTATTTAAATGCTTGACTACATATTTTATAAGTTTTCCTGTAAAAAAATATAATTTAAATGATTAAACTTGCTTCATCACGCATTTCATATTATTTTCTACTCTAATCAAAACTTATTGTGACAAATTTTATGAATTGTTTATGTCAAATAAAAATTTTAAAATTTAAAAAAAAATGATTTAACATTATTCATATTTCAAATAATATTAACTAAGTGTTTGTAGGTAGTTATTTTTTACCATAGTTTTTGTTACCTACATACTATTCTATATGAAACATGTACCGTGATATTAAACATAATTGCTTATAGATTAATATTTGTTTGATTCAGTTATTAAGTCACTATGAAAGTATATGTACTCAACAAACTTATTTTTAAAAAGTACTCAATGTGGTATCAGTTTAAGTGTAAGACGAGGACCACTAAATAATAAAATTGAGTAATTATATATTATTTTGTATATTATGCATATTAAACTACATTATGTAAAAATGTTGTTTTTTTAATGAATTCAAAGTCCAAACTATGTGAACTATTTTATTATTTTTCTCATTCTTGTATATTTGAATGAACGAATTTCTGTTATACGGTACTCTGATCGCTCTGTATATCGAAAAGTTAAAACCATACATAAAATCAACGACATAGTGTAGTGTGTTAAGTAATTATTTGACAGTTTTATCGTTTTGAAATTAAATTATCATTAAATTGTTTGTTGCTCAAAAAAAAAAAAAAAATGAATAAACAGATAACAGCTATACTATATATAAATATATAAGTAACGGTTGTATAAGACTTCGAAGTATGATTATCAACAAAACTGTTGTTCGACGTTTGCTATAGATTAGTTAACTTGTATAACCTGTAGAACACAGAATTAGAGAAGTATAATTTATTTAATGTTGTGATACATAATATTATATTATTGTAGTGAGTTTTTGTCTATTGGATAGTGAACCATGCATTGGATTGGTGTGTGTTGTTTTTGGTCATTATTAGTTTTCGTTTCGTCCGATACTCATAATTCGGTAAGTACCAAACCCGTGCATAAATTCATTAACATAATGTATCGTCGAAATTAGTAGTTTATAAATTCAATCGAATAATTCGACGATTAGACTGATTGTATAATATTGGTTTCATGTTTTTTAGACAAACAAACGGACGTTTATTGTAGACTATGAAAAAAATGAATTCCTAAAAGATGGAGAAGTGTTCCGATACGTTTCAGGTGATTTGCACTATTTTCGGATTCCTAAACCTTATTGGAAAGACAGAATTCAAAAAATAAAAGCCGCAGGCTTAAATGCTATAACAACGTGAGTCTTTATGAATTTACTGCATATTGTAGTTTTACACGATGCAGTTAAATGAAACAACACATCAACGTCGTATCTAAGAAAAATATTTATAAACATTTTGGCAGTTTTTTTTTAGTATTTAAATTTTGTTGTGTATACTATTAACGACGGACTCCAGTTTTTCTAGAGTATTTTGTATATTGTGGTTTTCACTTTACTAAAAAATATGCAGATTGAAGCTGATTGTAACATTACATCTATTAAAATTTATAATTATGTCTTCAAGATTTACTAAATAATTTGTTATGATCAAATTAAGTCATAAGATTATACATATATACACTATTACACTAATATTCACAGAAAAATGAGTACATTTATATTATCTACTTAAAAATTAGCTATGATAATGGTCAAATACACAAAAAACACAGTCATTAGTTCCTATAGATGGTAGATAGTAAACAGTGCTTATAATCTACATATTATTTAGTAAGAGTAATATTGTAAAAAAACAATAAAGAAGAATGTAGGTTTCATATTATACTATAAACAAGTTTCAAAGTATGTAATTATTTATTTTTTTATTCAATGTCAAAATAATATACAATAGCAAGTGTATTTATACCTATATATTATGGTTGTTAACAATTCGTTAAAAAATTATTTACCAGTTGCCACATAAAGAATATAAAATGAAAAATGGGAAATAAATGAACCTCAATTAGAAAAACTTACCTACTCGTTTATCATAATCGTGATACAATAAACTAAACTATTTAAAGTTATGTGGAATGGAGCTTACACGAACCATTCCCTGGCACATACAATTTCGAAGGGATGGCTGACTTGGAGTATTTTATAAAATTGATCCAAGACGAAGGCATGTACCTACTCTTGAGGCCTGGTCCATATATATGTGCTGAACGTGATTTCGTAAGTATAGTTGTAGTTTTCATTCGATTTCGTATTATAAAAAGTTATACTATGTAGGTATTAATTTATTATAAAAAGTTATATTATGAAGGTATTAATTTTCAGGGTGGATTTCCATATTGGTTATTGAACGTTACGCCCAGGGGGAGCTTGAGGACCAATGATTCGAGTATGGTTAAGAAAACACTGGTGTTATTACAATTGAATTAAATATAAAATAGCATAATATTTACCTACAATATATTTAATATTTAAAGCAATTCAATTTTTAAAATTATTGGGACATAAACATTAATTTATGGTTTATTATCTAAAATATAAAAGCAAAATGTATGATAATAGACCTAAAAATATGTTCATAGTTTTAATACTATTTATTATTGTTTATCAAACATATTATGCATGTACATTGTCCGTACATATTTATGCTAAATTAGTATTGTATTAGGTGTATGTGTTTTTTTTATAATAATATAAGCGTTATGCTGTCTAATATTTAAAAATGTCCGTTTTAGGTTATAAAAAATATGTTTCACAATGGTTTAATGTGCTTATGACGAAAATGCAACCTCATTTTTATGGAAATGGTGGAAATATCATTATGGTCCAGGTGATTATATTTTAAAATAGGCACTTCAATGTTCCGGTACTTTAAAAAAGTATCTTCAACATTTGTATGCAATATCGAAAAAAAATAAACTGTAAAAATATCGTATTTACATGTACGTTAATTGTTGAGGTTTAATCTTTAATTGATTTCATATAGGTGGAGAATGAGTATGGGAGTTTCTACGCCTGTGATTCAGGATACAAACTGTGGTTACGGGATTTAGTCAAAGGCTACGTAGAAGATAAAGCTCTACTCTATACAATTGATATATGCAACCAGAGAAATTTCGACTGTGGTCCCATTCCAGAAGTGTACGCGACCGTTGATTTCGGAGTTTCGGCAAACGGTTAGTAACAGGTACCTAGTCATTATAATATTCGCTCAGTTTATTTTATGATACCAAGGCGTATATCAGGTTGAGTCTTTGCTACCACTTGTACCATACTGCATATTTTACGCTTGCGTTTATTAAATTTGATGATGTAATTTTTTTAGCTTCCAAATGTTTTGACTTTATGAAAAACTTTCAAAAAGGTGGACCACATGTCAACTCCGAATTTTATCCGGGTTGGTTGGCTCATTGGCAGGAACCACATCCCAAAGTGAAGTCGGACGATGTTGTGAAGCAAATAAAATCAATGCTATCATTTAACGCTTCGTTTAGTTTTTATATGTTTCACGGAGGTACAAATTTTGGATTTACGTCTGGCGCCAACACTCTCAACGATACCGATGCGAACGTTGGGTATATATCTCAGCTAACATCATACGACTATGATGCTCCGTTGACCGAAGCTGGTGACCTGACAGAAAAATATTTCAGAATAAAACAGACGCTCGAGAATGCCGTGAGTCTTTACAGTTTTCACTTTTCACAGTCGTATTACATGAAAGTCGAAATTTTTAGAAATATCCCGGTCTGGTACCAGAGTATGTCGGCGATATATCTCCAGTTCCAATGCTTAAAGCAGCTTATGGCACATTCTACTTACAACCATTGGTTAGTATATTTGAAAAAATTACTCAGCAGATCAAACCGGTGTTAAGCGTTAAACCTTTAACGTTTGAAGGGATGGATATCAACACTGGATTCGTTATGTACGAAACAATATTATTAAATAAGTTCCACAACTCAGTGAATCTAACAGTGAACTCCGTAAGAGATCGAGCAATCATATACATGGATCAAGTAAAGTCACATCCGTACACAATAAGCGTCTAAATATCTATGTTAAAAAATATTATACTATTTCAGGTACAAGTGGGCACTATGAATCGATTAAAAGGAAACACGACCATACTTTTAAACTTAAAAAAACATTCTGCTCAAAAACTGAGTATTTTGATTGAGAACCAAGGAAGGATCAACTACGGAGATTTCATCGAAGACAGAAAGGTTGACTGATAAAATTATAACTTTAATTTATATTTTGCTTTCAGTCAAATTGTGTTTGAGGAAAATTTTACAAGACTTTAATTGTATTATTCTGTGCAGGGAATTTTGGGTCACGTACTTCTTGACAATGAAAAAGTGGGCCCGTGGAAGATGATTGCTCACCCTCTGAATGAAACGTCTTGGCTTTCTTCAATCAAACCAGTGGAAAATGTCCAAGTACCGGCATTTTATAGAACAGAGTTCACTTTGCCAGAGAAGTACAATACGAGTACCGTAGATACTTATCTGGATACTTCAGGTTGGACTAAGGTGTGTACTCTAATTTTGTTTGTTTGTTTTTTTATCATTTTTGGCTATTATTTGTTAAAGATGCACTCTTAGGTATCATACAAGCCATCTCAAAAAACATATATTTCATTATTTTTACAGGGAGTAGCATTTTTAAATGATATAAATCTGGGTCGATATTGGCCGCTCGCTGGACCTCAGTTTACACTCTACGTACCAGCTACTTTTCTAAAGCCACCTCCCGCTGTCAATACACTTGTCATGTTTGAACTTGAAAGAGCGCCTCAAGACTTGTCCATTAAGTTTGTAGACACGCCGAATATCAACGGCACCATAAACACGTAGATTAAAAGACATATTATGTTGTATATGTTACTAAATTAGGTATTTATTTCAAGTATGATGTCGATAACCTTGTTTTTGCTGATAATAAGTTCTGTATGATCATTAATTTTCATCAAGAAACTCATTTTTATAGGGTAGATTGATAAATTATTGATACACAGTTATAGAAGGTTATATTATTATAGTTGAATAAATTAAAACCTATTTTAATTAAGTATTCGAGATATCCAGATGTATCAGTCATTTAATTTATACAAAGGATTTTAGTCGTAATGTGTAATGAATAAAACGATGAATCGTGGAAACTAAATCAGAATTTTACGCAATTTTTATAATTTTAGTAGCGTCAGAAAAACATAAGGTGCTAAAAAAATTTGAAAATGCTTCAATTACCTACTGTTTATATTTTTATTTCTGCGTATAGCAATAATAGGTAGCACAGCTGTACATTTATTAGGTAAATCACCTCATCAATAATCATATCACATTATCGCTTATCAGTTCTAATAATTATTAGTCTAATGACCTTTTCCAAACACTCTGTACACCGTACATAAAATCCCTGAAAAAATAAATAATAATTACGACACTGTTTTCATAAACAATATATGAGCATAATAATACTATATTAATTATGTTACTATATAAATAGAAGCAAGTTAGGTTATCATGTGCGACATGAACCAAGATAAATTAATCACATATATTACTATCTTAGTATGATATACCTAAATATAAACATATTGAATAGTTGTGATTAAATTAAACTTAATAAGTGTAAAACTGTAAAAGTAATTATTGTGTGTTCAAAATGTGTTTAATTTTTTTAATTGCTTATCATGTAAAAATAGTACATGCATATATTAATAAAATACCATAGACACATAATATGATACAAGAACATGACCCAAACTTTTTCATTATTAGTTATTATTAATAAATTGATTTATTCATGTAATATGAGTGCATTGACGTCGTGTTGTATAAAAACTAATTCGTTTTATTAAAAAGAAAAAATTGATAATATTCTGAACATTAAAATATGATATTATACGCTTTTCATTAGCAAATAATGTTTATAGTAAAAAAGTATCTGCAACTGTTGAAGATAATAAAAAAGGGTTGTCGTAATAAATCACAAATAACGTTACATATCATTAAAATGTATTAATTAATTTTGATTATTGAAAATGTATAATATCCAATTAATATTTATTTTAAAACAACACTATGATAATCCAATGTTTTTGGAATAGAAATCAGACATGTTCATTTTTGTACAATTAAAATATCTGCAACTCCTTACGATGCGAGTGTCACGTTCTGTTTTCATTTTTGATCATAATACATTATTATATGATTTATTATAAACAAAAATAAATATTGAATCTAGTAAACCGTACAATTTATAAGTATTAATGCATAGAGTTTTCCCAAAATGGCAGACTGGAGACAAGATATTCGCAAGTGAAATGCAAAATAATGGCGACGACCATTGCTTTTCGAAAATATGTACACTCAATAGTTGAGCGCACTCGTACCAGAAATTATTGTAAATCATAGAAATCGTAGAATGCCTACGTTTCCATCTTCAATTTTTCTTTTCTTTAGACACTTACAATAATATTAAAATCAAAATGTACTTATTAATAATTTGTGTATTAGTATACGATATAATATCATGTTGAAGTAATTATCTGCAGCTGTAGATGATACGCCAGATGAGTGTTGAGAACAGTAATTCAATAATAATTATCACTATCGTCACTGCTTAAATCATTTCTACTAAAAGCACAAGTTGGTCAAAGGGAAGATTAAGCACTAGAATATATTTAGCTAGAACACTATACATGCATATAGTTAATAATGTAATCTCAGATGTTTACAGTTATCTATGATTTAGAAACGTTTGACGTGGTTTAACTTTGACTCTAACTAACGAATAACTACGAAGTCTGTCGTACCGTGTAATATGGTTATGGACATACTAATTAAACGACAGCGTCATTGTTAATAATTAGTCAAAACCAAAACAGCTGGGGCGAATAAATTCCTTTTCAGGAGTAAAGCCAGCTGATTTGTCTGTCGAAGATATCCCACAAAAAGGAGTAACTCGACATTTATTGGAATTCGTAAAAAAAGTTGACTGTCGACTGATGACAATCATCAGTATGCGCGCGGACTTAAGTAAAATAATTCTTTACTGTAATAACGATAAAGTCGTAGTAAAACATATTTATTAAATGCGAATTGGCTCCGATTTCGTCACGTGCAGGAAACGGTAATATTCTCATTTAGACGATCACTATTACATTAAATATCGTCACACGTCTAGGGTAAACTACATCTGCACACGACCTACACTTACCTACTATAGAGTCTATGATATTGATAACACAATGATTTATCGACAAAAAATAAACATTTGTCACCAACGAAAAAATCTAGAGGATTTAGCATTGTCCTCTGTGCGATCGCCGCTCGTTCATATTATATTATTATGTCCGACACCATTGCCGGATAATAATACGACGGACGTCTATAGGTACCGTCTTTATACAAGCAGGTACATGACGTATTATAGGTACGTAGGACCACATTATTATTGTGCACGTGTGTGGCAATCGTGTAAATAATAAAAAAAAGTGTTTAAACACAATACCCGTGTATAGGTACCTACGTATACCTATATCTCACAATATATTAGCATTATACGCGTGTGTTGTATTAGTCGGGACCGGGTTCGACGAGACCGATGATTAATGGTTTTAACGCGGCGGCGGCGTCGGGCGCGATTACAAAAAGTCGCGTACGATAATAATAAATTATAATTATTGCTCGTCTCGCAGTCGCACAGACGACTACGGCACGTCTCCTTCGGTCATCTGTCCAATAACAACGGCACACAAGTCCCACACGACCCTCACAATATTGAAGAATAATATAATAAACAATAAATGCGCATATAATATCATGCAAGCTGGTATTGGTATTCTGTCGACGAATTAGAGGTGAAAAACCCCGAGATGGTAAAAAATCTGATACCAAAGGTACAACAGGTATGCTCCGGAGATACTACAGGTATTCCGTGAGGTTAGTTTCCTAATAATTGACAATCGGTGAAAAACATAAGCGCCAAGATGAGATAAGAAAAAAAAGCCGTATCGTACGAAAGTGCCAAAATCATAGGTAGGTTAGGTGGTCCAACAGATAATAAATTTAGAACTATATTGTTCACAATCTCCGAACGTTCAATCTTAGTTTCTACGTATTAGTAGAAACCAACCAATTTTTTTAAAATTATATCTATATATTATTGACAATTTTTAAAAAATCAAATGCTTTATGAAAACTGTGTATACTTTTGGCGCACATGTCATACAGCCTCAACAATCAACTTAGAACCGGAATCTAATATAGACTACATAATAATGTGTAATATATATTATACTTTGATAAAATGTCAAAAATGAATGATCTTTACGGTCAAATATAAAACGGACGAAAATATTATTTAACGATAGCTTGTTCGATGTGTCGTCTATAGGCTTCGTGCTATGTTGTGTACGTGAACAGTTATAATTTTTCTACGTGATAAGCATATTAATAAATTAACAGGTATAGGTGTAGACATTTTTTAATCTTGAACTTTTTGAGATAGATAATATATATATATATATATATATTATATAATATCTACCTTAATTTTTTTTATTATACGGTATATGTAGACATTTTTTTTACAATAAGTGTGTGTGCTGTACGATATAGGTGTTGGGTTGAGATTGTGGGTATAGGTGCCGTGCGAAGAGACAATCTATTGAAGACACTTCAGCGTGGGTAAAAATACATATATTTTTTTTCAATAATTCGTTCCCTGCGAACACGTTTCTTGCAGATTACGATTAATTATGTGAAAAGTTTTTTTTTTGGAGTTGTAAATATCTATTTTTTTATGCACTGCTCTCGACCTACCAACAAGGTATTAGTAAGTACCTTATATGTTATGATTTTTTTATTTATATTTAACGACGTAGGCACACATTATATTAAAACACGCGCTTTTAGTCTTTTTTTATGTGATAAAATGTTCAACTTATTGTCCTATAGATTCACGCGTGTACTATATATGAGCACTTAGGTCGTCACGTGGAAACGGATAGTATTATAATAATAATACGACATGACGTGTCGCCGTCGTATGTCCTTGTATAGTCGAGTGTGTTTAATATTTTAGTATGTCCGACGTAACATAGGTATACTTACTATTATAGTCTACGGAGCTCTCGGATGACCGACGATATTGTTGCCGTCATTATCACAATAATATTAGGTAGGTACGATCCCGCAGAAAGGTCTGTAAACCAGCTCCGTCCGCGATGATTAATATTATAGAGACGAGACGGGCGAAACGTCCGTTTTCACATTTCTCTCCAATCATCGCCAGGACCGCGTGCACTGACAATAAAATATAGTAAGACGATATATATATAGTCACGTGATAAAAATGTAATATTTATAATATTATAGCGTCACGGCCGTTGTCGGGAAAATCGCTGCATTGTTATGTCGGCTCATATCGGATCGGAATCCGATTATTATTGTTGTTATCGTGATATTCTCTCACGACCGCGGCCGGTCGGCGTCGCTTGCTGTTTGTTTTCGGCGCGACACGTCGCTGTCGTATAGGTACCAGGTAATACCTACATTATACCTGATACCTATATATACCTGTACAACATATTATATTATAATATATGTAGTGTACCTACAATATTGCTTTCGCGACGGTTAACCTCCGACCGGCGACGGCGAGAGCTGACGCAGCACACGCAGAAAAGAGATGGCTGAAAAATATATCGGCCGTCGGTCGGGTCGCCGTTTCCCCGCGGTGACGACGACGAGAGGAGAGAGAGAGCACGCCGGAGATGGCCGATTTCCGTTTTGGCTATCAGTCTCATCGGATGGTCGTCCGGAGAAACCGCATCATAAGGCACCTCTGCACAATGCATGTACCTACCAATTATTATTATATTAGAAAACGATAATGGTATACGCCTCGTCATCGGAGAGACCGACCTCTGTATAGAGACCCATACCAATAACGCGACGACGGTCTGGCCGAGCGAACATAATAATAACAATAATAATAATAATAATAATATTATTTTTTCCGATATTCCGTCGACACAATAATGTTATAATACTTGCAGGGCTCTCGTGACTTGTGGCTATAAAAAAAATTTAGCTGTGAGCTAAATGATGACATTATATGCGACGCTCTCAGAAAAAAATAATTTGTGCTTTACAATTTTTTAA